CGTGTAGGGTGGTAACTAATGAGACAACGGATCCAAACACAAGCCAGAAAGAACAATGAATGCCTCTTCCGCTTCCATTACCTTATCTACGTATGAACATTGGGAAACAGTGGTAAAGAAACGTGGGAATTGCAGAGGACACAGCTCTGCTGAAGCGACCAGAAGAGCCGAAGCAGCCATTACTGATGGTTTGAACTCGAGGAACTTAATATCTGCAAGAAACAGAGACCAAGAAAACAAAAGGGTTTTCATATAAACGATCAAAGAAGATACTTTTTTTTTTGTTTCAGGCGAGTGATCATGGATGTGGTACCGTGTTGAAAATGGAAGACAAGATCATGGGCTCGGGCTTTGAGGGAATGTCTTGAGAAGGAGTCTCCAGACTCAAAGAGATGGAGGAAGAAGGAAGAGAAGGAGAAGGGAGTGATAGAGCGCATTCTCCATTTGAGAGCTCCCAGTATCACATTATCCATTCTCTCTATCGTCTGTGTGTCGAATATCACACCTCCCTCGCCCTGCCAATACGCATTCACATTTCGTCATCACATGCACATTATCTGAATAAAGACTCGATCTTTTGCCCGGATACAGAGCTTCTTGGTGTATGCTTTATACCTGAAGATCAGATACAGAGCTATTCGGCTTCCTCATCTTGGCAGACAAGGAGACGCAAGAGAGAGAGATCAGCCTCAAGCACCATGGCTTAGATTGCTGCAAAATTAGTGACACTTAAGATAAAGAATTGCCAAAAATGCAACCACAAGTCAAGAGAAGATGTCGGAAGATTCTCCTATACCGGCACTTCGTGGCAGGACAAGAACCTGTCCAGGTAGTTCACGGCCAGATACGTCAGAGAAGGGTCGTGGAATTTACCGGAATACTGCAGCATAAATCCAAATCCGACAACGTTAACAGTACGGCAGGGACATAAAACAAAAAAAAGACCCAGAAAAGATAAAGAGGGGATGGAATGTGGGCAGTTACGAGACGATCAAAAACCAAAACCTGAAAGATTGAGGAAATGGCCTGACGTCGATTAGAGAAGTGAGAAGGAGACGACTTGATTCTGTGTAAGTAAAGAGACGAAGGCATGTGTTGGGATTCGACGAGGAAGAGAGCAGACGGTAAGGGTCCGTTTGCATCTGTGGGGTTATGGATGAGAGAGTGTGAGAGAGGATGTTCAAGCTGAAACTCCTCCATTGATGACACTCTCTCCATCTGCTTACTTCTTCTTCCTTGTAAGTTTCAAGAAGACGAAGGGGAGAGAGAGAGAGAGAGAGAGAAGAGAGAAGTTGTCTTTTTATTGCATAAACGGAAACACAGTGAAAGGAGAGGGTTTGGTCTTTTGAGGGACAATCACTCACTTGGACTCTCTCATCTTCTATATATAACTTATCTTCAACACATGATTTCTTTATGATTAAGCAATTAATTTTCATGGACAATAATCTAAAAAATTATCGGTTATAACTATTCAATACTTGTTTTCACGAATAACTGTATTAATTTACACAAATAGCTCTACAGACAACTTTGATTTTCTTGTCCTTTGTCTTTGTACTCTCCTCTTACCTTTGTTCAAACTAAAACTTTGCTATACAATATTGTATATGTATATATGTGTATATATATATATATATAATATTTGAATTCATAATGTAGATAACCTATGCTTTTTGTTGTGTTAGGTTTTGAATTTCCCTGTGGCTTTTCTTGTGAAGTTCAATTTAGAAAACTAAAGTCAATCAGGAAGAAAAATGCATTGTGAATAGGCCCCTTATTTACTTCATCCTTATGCGGCCACAGTCTGCACGTTTATTTTAACACAGAGATGTTATATATGCTTGCAAACCCTTTAAATATACGCCAATTAAAAAAATGGTACGATAAATTGTTACTGTGATATGCAGACCAATAAATAAAATTTAAAAAATTACAACATAGAAAAGTAAAAGAGTGAAAAAAAAAGGGTAAAAGATTCAAAGCTAAATGGAAAAACATTTAACAAAACACCCAAATTCTTTTAAGCTTGTCACCTTCCCGCACATATAATTTATTCAATTTCTGTATGAATTTCGAATTAAACCGATCGATATGTGCACGACCAAATCATGAGTCGTGTCGGCATTAGTGTACGTGGAGTTTTGCATCATCGATCCAAATGCATGTGATTATGGTGATAATTAAGTACCGCCGACGTGGCAAGCAGTCATTGGATTATCATTGGAAACCCCCCCCCCCCCCCACCTC